AGCAGCAGCAGCACCGCCTGCAGCAAGAGCAGCAGCAGCTGCTTTTGCTGCAGCAGCTTGACCACTGGTTGCTGCTGCTGCTGGCTTGCTCTGCTGCTGCAGCAGACTCGCGCCGCTGCTGCTGTTTTTGCTTGCCTCTGCAGCTGCTTCTGTTGCTGCTTCTGTTGCTGCTGCTGCTGCTCGTGCTGCTTCTTCTGCTGCTGCTGCTGCTGGTGCTGCTGCTGCTGCTGTTGCCCTCTCAAAGGCATCAGAGACAATCTTAATTACGTCCCGCAGCTGCAGCGGCTCTCCGTTTTTCCCTCGGCCCATTCTGCAAGCACAAACCCCAAACCCTAAACCCTAAACCCTAAACCCTAAACCCGAACCCCTAAACCCTAAACCCTAAACCCTAAAAATTAAACCCTAAACCCGAACCCCTAAACCCTAAACCCTAAAAGCTAAACCTTAAACCCTAAACCCTAAACCCTAAACCCTAAACCCTAACCCTACACAATGTAGACACTCCCCATGCCCTAAACTGAAGGTTCCCTAAACCGTAGACTCAAAACCCTACACCCTAACAAACCCTAAACCCTAAACCCTGATAAACGCAAAACCCTCGTAAACCCCTTGTGAACCCTAGGAAATCCTGCTAAAGCCAACCAAACCCTAGCCCAAACCCTAGAACCCCAAACCCTAGTCCAAACCCTAGCGCAAACCCTCGACCCCCAAACCCTAGCGCAAACCCTCGACCCCCAAACCCTAGCCCAAACCCTAAAACCCTAAACCCTAGCCCAGCTTCACCTGATGGCCACTGCCATGTTCTCCAGTCTGTAACACTTTTCATGAAATCTTTTCAAAGTCCCAATTACATCAATTCCTTCTTCATTTGGTCTTCTGCACAAACTCTCCAAACTTCCAGTTCCAAACTTCCCCGACACGGGGGCCCCTGGGGGCCCCCCCTCTTGGGGGGCCCCCTCCTGGGGGCCCCCCTCGTCCTGGGAGGCCTCCTCTTCGGTGGGGGCCCCCTGGGGCGAATCGGCTTCTGGGGCCCCTGCATGCGTTTTTGCATGCGCTTTTGCATGCGTTTTTGCATGCGCGTTTGCATGCGTTTCCGCATGCGTTTGTGGCGCCCCACAAGTCCCAAAGTCCGGGAGGTGCTGCATGGCGAGCAGCAGCGCGACTCTTTGGAAGTCCGATTTATTTTTTTCATGTTCTGCTTGAATGGCCATGAGCTGCGAAGCAAAAACAGCAGCAGCAGCAGCACATTTTTGAATTTAAAAGACCCATTTGAACCAATTTAAACCAATAAATTCTCAAAAAGGATTTCAAAATAAAGCATTTCATTTTTAAAGGAAAAGAAACTTCAAAAGACTAAAGAATTCGCCCCAGGGGTAATTTCGCGAAAATTCCAAACTCGGCCATTCAAGAAATGGGATTTGCATGCAGAAACAAGAAAAAAGCCCAAATTCTCGTTCCAATTTGCATTTATATTGATATTTAAATAAATATTTGAATTCAAATTAAAAATTGGATGCAAAATTGCATTTAAATTCGCAAATTCCGCAGCTGGTGGCGTGCAGTGGCGCAGCTGCGCATACACCCCATGGGGTGTACAGACACCGCGGCGCAGCAGCAGCAAACGGATTTTTGCGAATTTTGGAATTTAAAGATGTAAAAATATTCGTTTTTGAATTACTTCTGCTTCGACTTGTTCTTTTTGCAAAAGAGGATTCAAAAGATGGTCCAAAAAGAGATTTAAAAGCGCTTCCAGCTTCTCAGAAGGAGCAGCAACAAAGAAGGTGGTGGTCTCGGGGCCCGTTGCTGCGTTGTGGCTGGGGGCGCGGGGG